TTCTCTGCTGACAGCCACTTGATGGACACACACAAGGAAAACGACTTCTTGAACCCTGGACAAAGAAATACAATAATAAGAAGCTGACCTTGACTATGGTAATATTTGTTTGTTAGCAAAATATCTCATGAACCACTGGACAGATTTGAGATAAACTCTCGCTAAGTAATAATTTGATGTGCATCTACAACTGACTGACTTCTGGAGACAGCCAAATTCAAGATGGTTGCCACAGCTAATCTACCTTATCAAACACAAAAATGGCTCTTGGTTTATCTTACTGATATTTTGCTAACAGAGCAGCACAGTCACAACTGGTAGAGCTGCTGCCTCTCAGCAAGACAGTAGCCGGTTCAAATCCCGGACCGGGGGCCTTTCTGGGTGGAGCATGTTTTTGGTCTGTGGGAGGAAACCAGAGTACCCGGAGAAAACCCATGCATGCACGGAGAGAACATCCAAACTCCATCCAGAAAGGGCCCCGGACCAGGGTTTGTACTGGGGCAACCTGCTCGATGAGAGGCAGCAGCTCTACCAACTGCACCACCGTGCTGCCCTTATATAAGTGTTATAATGGCTGAAAATGTTTGACCTCTGTCCACCCCCAATAATCTTATTAAACAGCTACTTTTAAACCTGTTTTAACACTTGTTACAAAGTTGAGCATGTGTTAATGTTTTATCTTTTTGAAATACTTTTGTCAAAATACAATTCTTACATACAAACTGCGAAAGAACAGCAATAATGTAACATAAGTTTTTACTGGTGAACTATGAGTCCTTCTTAAAATGTCCATTATGCTTTTCTAACACAGTATTTTCATTGTCACTGATGGTTACCTCTGGGACAACCTTGCCCACGTTACGACCTTCTCCAAGAACATCCTTGGTGATGTAGTCTCACGACATACTACCATAAACTTCTTTTGACATCTGTAAAAATGACATAAAGTAAGAAAATGAGTAAGACAATTTGTTGCATATAAAAAATAACATCTGCCTATTGACAATTTTGAAAATCAGACATTTTGGATTTTACTTGTTAACATGAATTAGACTTAATGTACACTTTATTAGACTAATGTTAATTTAAATATTGACTCAGTAAGTATAAGCTCTTGCCCTTTTACATACGCATAGCTTGAGCAAACCCTGTATTCACACACGACACTGATGTTTTTGGGGTGACCGCATAATTTATGTCCATACTAAGAGATGTCTGTTCTTTAGAGAGGTGAGTAGACCGGGTCTTTCAGTGGTGCACTGGTCATAAAAACATAACATAATATAAAAACAGTCTTCCTAATGTGCGTTCACATGCATAAAGGTAACAGTTCATTGGGTTTAATGCACTGAAATCATGGCCATGTAAAGGTGGACACTCAGAGATGAAATCGGTGTAGCACAAGTTTACAAAAGACGAGTGGCTGAACCAAAGGTACCAAGGTTAAATTTGCCATGGGACATTTGGGTTGACTCCAGAAGTTGCCTTTTGAAGACAGCGTGTGCCCGTGTGGGAAATGAAGAACCTTGAATCAGTAGCTGAAAGACTTGAGTGTGCTGAATGTGAAAGACACTATGAGAATAACAGCATGCACGGACACATGCAGTTGCAAACTGTAAGGCGTGTCACTGCAGGATGTGTGGGTCTGTTGGTGTTCGTGGCAGATGGTTTTGGGGAGCCTGCGTGCACTCTGCCCATCCTGCCTCTGTTGCTATGGTGATCAGTTTAACTCCAAACCAAAATGTGTATTTGGGGACTTTATGAACCAAAGTATTCATGAGAAAGTTGTGTACAGTAAGCTTTTTTTATTTTTCAAAAAAATTCACAAGGAAATGTGAAGATTTAATGAAATGTTTTGTTTTGTTTTTCTATATTTATTTTTTAAAAATTGCAATTTGTTCAAGCTGGTGTCTGAAAAGTGTGGTATTAATGATGATATTCATTCATTCCACATTTATTCAGACAGGTTAATCCCATTGAGCCTCGGGGACTCGTTTACAAGAGAGACCTGATTTCTTTAACAAAGAGTGATGGCAACAGTGGATAACAACGCCAACAATAGACAATCATAAAAGAGGCATACATATTATTATTATTATTATTATTATTATTATTATTATTATTTTTACAAATTAAAATAAAATGGCAACCAAAAGGACAGTCAAAAGGAAAAAAGTAGCGAAAATAAAAAGAAACAGCTAGATTATAAGGGGTAGGTCCCTTTCATTCATGGTTTGATTCATCTTTTCTGTTGAATTATTGTATATACAATTATTTTTCAATTAAATAATAAATGAATAAAAATTATTGCACATACTTTAAAATCCTATCCCAAAGAAGGGTTTTACATGACTTATAAATACATCATGAGAGGAACTATTCCTCATGGTTCTGAGGGTTTAGGTTACAAATGAGAAAGGTGTTTAGATGTTTCTTAATTACGCTGACATGCAGATGTGTGTTTGTGGATGTGAGTGTGGATCGCTTTTAGCTCGCAGTCGGGCAGTGAAGGGGGATTAGATAAATCAACAGATCTGGCTGCAGCAGAGCTTAGGTAATAAGGCTCCAGCACTAACAGGCTAAATATAGAGACAACTGACTGACTGCCTGCCCACCGTTACTGCCTAATACAAACACACAAACACATAGACACACACTGTTGAACACTCTTTCCTTCTTTTCCCTTTTGATTATATTTATAGATTTATGCAAATACGCAGAGCTTTATTGAAAAGGGAGAAAAACTGTTTCTTTCTAAAAATGTGTTCTCTGTAAAATATGCACACCTTTTTATAGTTTTATGTCAATATCAGCATAAACTGACCTTCACTTCCAGGCTGTACAATGAGCAAAGCCACTGTGTAGGCACTGATGAAACATGGGTAAGAGCAAATTGTGCATTGCGTATTTTTTCGTTCTCCTTGTCTGGCATCTACGGTACTGTCCTGGCTGCATGGTTTTGGAACTGTGTTTTAGCAACAGAAGCAACAATTGGTGGATTTCAACTGTGACCTTCCCATCTCATCTGTTAAAGGGCATGTTAGGAATATTCTGCTACCATGTGGCACACACAACAAAAGGTTTGACGCAAGACCGTCTAGAGGGTAAGATACAGACAGGAAGGAGAAAGAAGGGAGGAGACCAGCAGTTTGTGCTTTATTGATATGCAAATAAACACATGTATTCACATACGCACAGAAGCTTGGAGCTGACATTCATCACAACCTTTCGTGAACCTACATCTTTCATCTTTAGTACCTTGGACTGATTTGCAAATGTATCTTTTCCCAGCAGATTTTATCCACAAGTTTAACTCTACTTGCCTCTGCTTTACAATAGTTGTTCTGTTGTATTTTCAGAATATTCTTATCTGGGTTATCTTACTAAACGTCTTTCACCAGGCTGGCATGCGTAAGCATTTAAATGGATGGTTCAGATCTTTGGAAGTTGGGTTCTGTGGAAAGATTAAGAACATTTAATATGGTTTTTGTTGTAAATATCACTATGAATGACACTGGTTTAGATGAAATAGAATATTATTCTGACCACATTGACAATCTAATGGGTGCTTTGATTTTGGCCAACGCTACAGTGGATTGCTGTTGACTTAAAACCACTTCCATCGCAAAATATCAAGTATTCTTATGAACAGTGCTTTATAAGCTTTTACACTGCCATGGCATTCACATTAGTCTGTTATTCTGACAGAAATATTATGATATTCTTTCCAGAAATGCATTAGGCTGCACTGGAAAAGCTATGGCTAGCTGCTGCTTACAAAAGTGGTACTAGAAAGTAACCACTGAAGTTCATTTTTTATAAATAATCAAGTAATACAAAATTGACGGCATTGTAACAGTTGATAAAAACGGTCTTCACTTGAATCGCTATGAATTTTTAGGAATTTAAATTGTTTTGAGATGACACTAATTCAGTTTAGTCTTAGCTCTGTTCACAGCTAGCTGTTGGGTTGTACGTGTAATGAGATTTGAACTTGATGTCTTCAAGGAAACGTGTAAAGTCCTAGCCACTGCCGGTAAGATTAATAGTTCATAATCTTTCCACAGAGCACCACCTCAACATGTTTCAACCTTTCAGATAATTGCTGCAAACACGGCTAATCAGCGTAAACAACACTGAACAGCTAGCTAACCATCTTTTCTAGATGTACCAACGATATGTCAACTGTATTTATTTATTTATTTTTTTTATATAATTTGGCTGTGAATTAGATTTTACTGCTTATCTGACTGTTTGTGTCCTAAAAGTATAAAACCACCTTTCTATACTTGTTTGTACTGAAATTAGAACACTAACGCAGTCTGCTTCCAAAAAAATACGTACAGTAGTCCCTCACTACTTCGTGGTTTGTTTATTGCTAATTCAGATGGATGAGTCACACGATTGGCATGTAATTTTTTATTTAAAATAAATTATTTTAAATGATTTAACACCTGCTGCACATTCGTGCAGCCCAGAGCTGCAGAAAAAGCTTCATCCTGCAGCTTTGTGCAGCCCACACTGCAGGATCAACTTACTGCTGCAGGATAAAGTTCCTGCTGCAGCTGAACAGCTGATCAGATGTTCAGCATGCAGAGTGGAGAAGTGGGTGTGGCCAAGAGCACTTGCAGGTGGCAAAGAGCAGAGGAGGCAGGGAGCTGAAATCATGACGTTCTGTGCTCTTTTAGAGCGTTTAGAGTTTAGAAACATTGTTTAGAATATTGCAACAGTGTGGAAAGGGTTTAAAACACCTTCATATGCATCTAGATAAATAATAAAATAAACTACTACTTGTACTACTAATCCTACTTCGCGGCTTTTCACTTATTGCAGGGCTTCAGGGTACGGCTCCACTGCGATAAACGAGGGGATACTGTATAAAAAATTTTCTTTTGTGACTTTAGTCAACTTCAAACTGTGTGTTTTGTTTTGTCATGTCTGACTGTTGCATATTGGTCTAACATTTTGTATTATTTTCTTTTTTTTTTTTGTCTCATAAGGTCCTCCAAGGCTCACCCTGGACCAGTTGTACACATAAGTGATAACCCTATGGATGAAGGAAAGGTAAAAATAATGAATTAATGAAAAACTTTGAAGGTTTTGATTAATCCTAACCAAGTGGGATGGTGGTAGAAAAAAAACTCAACATACTTCTCAGACTGCGGAAACAGATTCAGATCAAAGGACACTGACACATTAACTCATATTTATTAACAGGACTGAGCACGCTCTGTTCCAACAGCAGTTTTTGCAGATCTACCTAAAAGTTATGAATTTGTGTTCGTGTGTAAATAAACATTAATCTTATTGCTAGTTTATTCTAAATACTGTTTCAAGCTCATTCTTTCCATACATACAGCAGTGGCTGAAAAACAACTTTAAACTCCCAACACATAAATTCTATTTTTTCTTTATAAATGTAACATACATTTCAATTTCAAAGAACTGAGACTGAGTAAGATAGTTGGTTCTATAAATATTTTGTCAGGGTAAAAAAAAGAAAAGTTCATTGTTTTGTTCATCTCTTTTTTCATTTAATGTCCTCAACTAGAAGCAGCAGTTTCCTCCTGAGCCACTGTAAACCTTTTCCTCTGACTTCCTCTCATGCTGTGTGGGATATTAAGTGTATTACTTCAGTTTCTGCCCATCATAGGATTTGTTCTGTCTCCTGTCTCTCATCTCCCCCACGCGTCTCACAGAATGCCTGTTGCTCTTCCTTTGCAGCTTATAATTGGATTTGAGTCGGGGATTGTGGTCCTGTGGGATCTGAAATCAAAGAAGGCAGACTACCGCTACACTTATGATGAGGTAGGCAAATCTCCCCGTATTATTTATTTCCTTTCAGTAATGCTTGTGCCTTCTAAAATGTTGCACAGTATCTTTCAGAAACTGGAAATTAAATCATATATTCATGAGCTACATTTTATACAGCTGTTCAAGTGTGCCTGTGTGTCAAACTTTAGAGTTTAAAAGGTTGTACAGCAGCTGGCAAGGGATGTTGTTTAAAGGAATAGGACAGATTGACCTCAGTTCAGAGGAATAAAGTTTAATTCTGATGTCATTGACGAGCTAATGGCTAGTCCGTAGGATTGCTGTCCTCAAACAGCTCCATGCTCCAAAATGTTATAGGTTCATGCAATCACCATTTTATTTAACTTTTATTTGATTTTGTTTGTGTCATTTTTATTTAACTTATTATTGTTTTACAAGTTTTTATGTGTTTATACATCTGTCAATGGCGGTTACAGTCTCCATCCGTACATCCGTAAACTTTCTCTTGCCCTGCCCATAACTTATGAACCGCTCAAGATAATTTAAAGAAACTTCATATACATATATGCATCACTAGATGGAGAGTAGTGTACACTTTTCATCTCGACAGCTCCAAGGTCAAGGTCACAAATCAAGGTCAAAGTTTAAACAAGACCTTTCCACTGTTTGCCTTCATGCTTGATCAAGATGAGAGTCTGTGATGGAGTTAAATTCAAAGCAGTCTGCTCCTCAGATAAATAGTGTTCAATTATT